GGATTAAGGCACAGGAGACCACCACTATCAGTGAATTCAAAGCACGACAACATGAAATAGGGATGGAACTGGATGGGGAATGCAATCTCAGAATCTCACAGCAAGTGCGTCCGTATGTGGACCAGTCTTGATCGTTTTGCTTTTGCTTGTTCTGTTTGCACAAGTGTTGCCCTCCGGTGCAGGAACCACTACTGCAGCTGCAACATCAACCACTAAATCAGTCTCCATAGATTGAGATAAACTGAATGGAAACCTCCAGCTGGAGTTCTTAGATTTTAAAGACTCAAGCCATGAATGAAGAATGTTTTGGACAAGGACAGTCACTTCTGAAGAGCGTGGAAGGGTTGGAATAACCAGTGACAGTTTTCCACCTGAACCCTGGGAATCCAAATAATCCCTGAGCCACTCTGATGCGGTCAGAATCTTAACACTTTGAAGGAATATAGGCAGCATCCTGGATACTTCTTGCAGGCGGCTTCCTGGAAGCAGGCAGATGGTTATGTGTTGGGGCCCGACTGAGAAAGGGCAAAACATAAAGAAGCAACTTCAGTTGAGTGCATACTTGATCAACCTCCAAATCAGATTCAGATGGCAAGCAATCAGCCTCTAGAACATTGCAAGTTCACATGCCCATAGCACAAAACCTTACCTGGAATGCCGTGTTGCTGCCGGAAAGCTCTTCCATCCCCACTCGCCCTCCACCATGGTCCATTCACCACATTATAACCCCAATCTCCTCGCAATCCTTCCTCTCCTGGCTCTTCTGCTTCTTTAGTTTCTCCACTCCCACCTTCCCCTCTCCACTCCCCAACATCTTTTCTCCCTGCTTCCCCACTCTGCCTGGTACTCCGATCCTCAGCTATGGTCTCAAGAACCGGATGCCCCACATACGTTGCTGGGATGCCATGCTGCTGGCACGTGGCAGGCTCATGAGGCAGGATGCATAGAAGATGGTCCATCAACGGTGAGAGATTCTGCTTGGGGGAGGGCAGGAGGTTTGTGGGAGAAAGCAGAAATCTAAAACAAGACAGCCATGGAGCTGACATATACAACAATGGGAAATATGCTGTGGTGGAAACGGTGGATTCACAATTTACATGCACATAATTAAACAGACATTCACCTCAACATAATCACACTCAAACATACTCGCAGTCTGCGCTCGCCTCCCTTGACTGCCCAAAACGACGGCGCCACATAATGCACACAGAGTGGAGCCTCCTCTCCTTGCCTACGCAGCTTGTCTTTACCTGGAGATGCACGTAAAAGCACAAAGTAACCACACACTTCATCGTGACGATGGTTTTAACAGGAGTCATTGGAGTGCAAATTTTGACCTTTTGTGGGCTTTAACAGGTGAGATGAAGGAATCCGGAGAGTTGATGGTGATGACAATGTTCTATCAGTCGACTCAAAGTCCACAGGAATTTGTCCGATCTCCCACTCGGCTCAAAAGTCATAAAAGGTTTATCCAGTTTTCAGTCAACTTAATACTCAGCAGATGTCAACTCAGTGCAAGATCCGACCTCGTATAGCCTTTAGCAGGCGAAAATTGAAGCCTTTGGAGTCGATGGTGATGACAATGTGTGGCTGAGATTGCTCCACGTGCCGGACAGCCTGGCGCAGGCGATACTGGGAAGGGAGTGAGAGGAGGGGGAGGAGGAGGAGAGGGGGGGGGGGTGGGGGGGGGGGGGGAGAGAGGGGAGGGAGAGGGGGAGGGGTATCATGGCATCACCATGACTGTGGCCGTCTACTCCCCAAAACAACTTCTGAGGCGCCTCAAAAGTCATGACTGTGGCCGTATACTCCCCAAAACAGGTAATGCAAGTGTGAAACGCCATATTCAATGACATATGATGTAAACAAAAAAACGTTTTCAACGCATAGGAGCACACATTGCTATTACACATGATTACACGGTGAGAGAGAGAGGAGTGTACCCATAGGAGTGGGATGCGAGGAATGAGTTCGACAAAGCCCATGATTGAAAGGTCTGTCATTGGGAAGAGAGAGCTGAGGCCCTGCGATGCCATCCAGGGGCTGTGGGATTGGTGGGGTGGGGGATGTGTGTGGAGGGTGGAGGATGTGTGGGTTGGCTGTCATGAACGTTTGTGGAGGGAGGATATGTGGGTTGGCTGTCATGAAGCCCCATTGAAAGGTCTGTCATTGGGAGGAGAGAGCTGAGGCCTTGTGAAGCCATCCAGGGGCTTTGGTGGTGAGGGTGGGTTTGGGTGGGGGGATTGTGAGTGGAAGGAAAGGTATTGCATGTGGAGGAAATGGGATCGTGTGTGGAGAAAGGATGGACGGAAATAGGTATGCTGAGTGACTGCGCGTGTGCGAGTACCAACGGTGTCAAAGGCACATAAAGAATAGCCTAATTACAGCAGCTACGGGTGTTAGCTGTGGCTGTCTGCACAAGGACTGATTTGAGACAAGAGACCAATATGGTGCCACCCAAAGCTGCAGTGAGCGAGGTGGGAGTGGTGACAGTGTAGGGTGATGGGGATTGTGTGTAGAGGGAGATGGAATGGAGTGCGGTGGGGCAAGTTTAGAAAACACGAATTTGTGTGAAATTGGAGTGAGGGAGAGAGGACCTTCGCAAAAAGAGTTCCTGCATCAGCATGTATTGAGAACAAAGAAGCTGCATCTGGTGCTGGGAAGAAAGAAATGCAGAAATTGGATTGTGGGTGAGGGAACCTGAAAAGGTATTTCTACAAAAGGAAGGTGAAAGATCGCACATGCACTCACGCACTAATTCACTCATGAACTCCTGCATTCCTGAACCAGGAATTAATGTGGGTGGAAGGTCACAGAAGCAGGTGGGGAACGGAAGAAAGGGGGGGGAGGTACTAGTAATGTTCAGGTAAGGTGTGTCAATCGCTCCCTCTGACCCTCACGTGCTGGATCATTCACCCACTCACACAGGCACTCATACACTCACTCACTCACTCACCCCTCACTTGCTCACTAGACGCACCCCACACTCACCCTCCCACACCTTGAAACTCAACAGTCCCTGAACGCCTTTCCTGGAAGCTTCCTTCCTCCACCTGCTCCCAAATCTCCCCTTTCCTCCTGTTAACCTCGTCTCTCAAAGCCGCCATTAATCTGCACCCTAGCGCGTCCCCTGAAGGCTCGCCAGCAACTACAAACACTCGCAGCGCCTCGTTGGGTGCTAAGGGACGCCGTGCAGTTGGCTTGACGGGGTCTTTGGCTGGGTTGGTGGGGTGCAACGACGTGGCACCCATCTCAGACGTGGAATTTTGAAATGACGTTGTGGAATATCTGGCTGAGGTGGCAAAACCCAGGTCAGACAAGGGATTGACGTGTCCAATGGTATTTCTGGCGCTGATTCTCTTGAAAAGATGGATAGACGCTGTGCCCTGACAGGAGGTACCATAAGCGAGTGCTGCTCGAGCAGCTGGAGCCTCCGTGTTTTCCACTGTGCCTCTCAACGAAAGAGCTAATATTCCAGATTTCGCCAAATTAGCGAAACTGGCCGAATTCCCCGACCTCGCCAAATCAGTGCTCATGAGGCTCCTTGGAGCAGCTGGCGACACTGATCGTTGAGGCGCCTCAAAATCTCGCGACGCTGCTCCACTTCCGCAACGGTTTTCGGGTCCCTTCGCATCCCTGGGAGCTCCTGCTGCCGATGTCTCTGACAAAGTGAAATCTGAGACAAAGGGTCCTTGTGGAGCGGTTTTAATTACTGAAAGCACGGGAGGGATGGCGACCTTCGAGTTGGAATAGCTGGTTCCGGGTACAAAAGTAAGTTCGCGTGGATCGTAGCATCTGAGCGATTTACGCAGCTTCAATGCGCATAAGAAGCGCCTAATTCTAAACGCCATGATCTTCCCCTGACCTCGTCGGTCACACCCACCTCGTCTACCCCATGCAGTACTATATGCGTCAGCGTACGACTCGACCCGAGCCTAACTGCGCGGTCGCCTCAGTTATGCCTGAACGACGAAGTACTGAGCTCAGAAAATAACTAGTAAGGTCGCGCACATCCTGCTGATCAGACTACTGATGGCCACTTTTTTTGCCCCTCAGTAAATTTACATCAAATGGTTGGGGAAAATGTGTTGCGAGCTTGCAAACGGGTAATACTTTTCGATGGCGATTTCGCGAACTGTAACGATGCCCATCGCTGCTGCTTCGGGTGTCAAATCCAAGTGCGATCTCGATGGCTTGCGGGCAAACCGTGATCGTAGATAAGCTGTGTTTACAGTGCAATCGACGGTTTGCACAGCTCACGAATCTTGTCTGTCCAATCAAGCGCATTATCTAAATTCGCAACAGCCAGCACATCAAAAGCTCCATTCATACCCGCATCACCGACTGAAAACCAATTGAACCAAGCCGAAACCTGACATTTGTCTTTGATTCTTCTAATCCGTGAAGTGTTCGTCTCCCATTTCACAAAATTTTCAGGAATTTAGCCATGGCTGCCACGTCGCTCAGCTGGTCGAATCGCGTGCTCTCAGGCCCCGTTTCGCGAGACGCAGGGTCGCTTGCTTCTCACAAGTTCCCAAGCAAGAGCTTAGCATCGAGTCGCGTGGTACCGGTTCAGTCCCGAAACGCCGCTAGGAGGTCCGTACTTCAAGTCGAAGCGCGTGCCATTCTAGACTTTTTCACAAAACGAGGCGCTCCGGAAAGCGACTCGGGAGAGTTCCGAGAAGGATGGGCGTATGCTCCGTGGGAAAGGGTAAGCCACTGCTGGCCTCGTAGGGTAAGCTGTGACTGTCTTTGAAACAACAGTGCGAGCAAGACGCACCATTGCCAAACGGTGGGAGACATTGCGTGTGGCCGCAGCTGGGTTTTTTTTAGCAAAGCGTTTGAATCAGGTATTTGGAATAGCAGATTGTGAACCTGGTTGCTGTTGTAGAAACAGCCGTCTACTTTTCATAAATCTCCTCCATCACCATACCACCAAACACGACGCATTGTGTAAACACGCCCTCTATCAGGTGCGGCTCGGTCCGTTCTCGGTGTCTCCTATGGGCCTCGGAACGTGGGCGTGGGGAAATAAGTTCCTGTGGGGATACGACAAGGAAATGGACGAGGAGCTTAAGGAGGTATTTGACCTGGTCGTGTCGCGCGGGATTAATATCTTCGACACGGCTGACTCCTACGGAACTGGAGCGCTTAGCGGCCGCAGCGAGCAGCTCCTGGGCCAATTCATTAAAGAGTACCCCGGTAAGGAGGAGCCCTTCCTGGTACAAAGGTTTCTAGCTCTCTCTCTTCGTCCAAATTAGTCCGCTCTCGTTCTTTCTCCCACCGCATCGCTCGCGTCTCCTCCTGTCATAATCTACGACCTGTTACAGGCTTGTCTTCGAAATCCGGACTCAGTTCTGGTGTCTCCTACCGCCATCATCATGCAACATTTGCATCTTTCCCATTTCCCCACCTCACCCCACCCCACCCCACCCCACGCCAGGCAGTGACAAGTACCGCAGTGACATCCGCATTGCCACCAAGCTCGCCGCGTATCCCTGGCGCCTCACCCCCGCACAGATGGTGGGCGCCTGCAGGTGAGGGCTGGGACTCGCGGGAGATGGGGGAAGAGGAGACGGGGAGATGGGGGAAGACAAGGGAGATGGGGAGATGGGGGAAGACAAGGGAGATGGGAGTGAGTGTGAGCATGCTGCCATTGGCAATGCGGCCAGCTTGGGTCTCACATCATCCGCATTGCCACCAAGCTGGCCGCGCCTCCCTGGCGCCTCACGCCTGCACAGATGGTGAGCGCCTGCAGGTGAGGGGGGACTCGCGGGAGATGGGGAGATGGGGAGATGGGGGAAGACAAGGGCGGTTAGAGTGAGTGTGAGCGGCCTCACATCATCCGCATTGCCACCAAGCCGGCCGTGCCTCCCTGACGCCTCATCCGCTCTCCCACCCACAGCACAGATGGTAAGCATGGAGACACAGGCAATAGGCCAGTTCATTGGTCCACATCTAGACCTCCTGCGGTATTCACGGCTCTCCTCCTCGCTTCTGTCCTCTCATATCCTCCATATGTTTCCCTCCTCTCCACTAAATCGTCTGGGCTTGGGGCAGCTGGCAGTAGGCCAGCTGCATTGATCTGCAGGTGCAGGCAACGTCCCTTCTGTATTCACCCTCTATCAGAGCCTCACTGGATTGCATCGCCTGCGCTTGGAGAAGCTGGCGATAGGCCAGCTGCACTGGTCCGCAGCCATCTATGTTCCTCTATAAAATATTCCCCTCTTTTTTGTACCCCCTTCTTTCCTCAATTCTTCACCTTTTTTACCCATCAGGGCATCACTGGATCGCCTGGGCTTGGAGAAGCTGGCGATAGGGCAGCTGCACTGGTCTGCTGCCAACTATGCTCCGTTGCAGGAGAGGGTGCTGTGGGATGGGCTCGTCGCCATGTACGAGGAGGTGAGATCGAGATGAAACAGTATGAGGAGGTGAGATGATACCATACAAAGAGGTACTTGTAAAGATACGCAAGAGCATATGAGATGAAACTGGTGCTATTGAGGGAGTGTAGTGTAACCCTTGCCATGCAAAATAATATCTACCTGCAAAAATATGGCATTGAAAAACTTCAGTTATTTATTCGTGTCCTTCCCCCCCACACCACTCCACCTCTAAATCCCCCCTCCCTCCACCACCAGGGCCTGGTGGAGTGTGTGGGGGTGAGCAACTACGGCCCCCAGCAACTCGTGTTTTGAGTCGACTCAAAACCTTAGCACTCCATGTCTACATTCCTCCTCCCCCCACCACCAGGGCCTGGTGGAGTGTGTGGGGGTGAGCAACTACGGCCCACAGCAACTCGAGCGAATCTACACCTACCTGCAGGAACGGGGAGTGCCGCTAGCTTCGGCACAGGTACGGCACGACTCCCAAATGCATGCCATGATTTATATCACTGTGCACAGTGCACAACCCATTCGGTGGGTTTGTCATGTACTGGATGGATAGCCATGGTAGTTTCTCAAGGGGCCTACAAAATCGTCTCAGTTCTCACGAGCCATTGGGTTCCTCAAGGGCTCCTTCATCTTCGTGACTTTTCATGCCATAGCGTGGCAATCATCACTCGCTTTTGAGCATCACTTAAAGTGACTGCTCACGAGCCATTCAGTTCCTTCATGCAATAGCGTGGCAATCGTCACCTCATACTCCTTTCTTCAGTTTTCCTTCATGGAACCAACCATTCGTAACCTTGTGTGCCCCCAGTTCAAACACCACCCATCCGTCCACCCACCCCACCCACCCACGCACCCACCCATTCACCGGCCTACCACCCATCCACCCATCCATGCGTCCAACCATCCATCCATCCCGTGCCACCAGGTGCAATTCTCCCTCTTGAGCTCGGGTGAAGAGCAGGACGACCTGCTGGCCTTCTGTGAGGCCAATGGCATCCGCGTTATAGCATACTCCCCCCTCGCTCTCGGCGTGCTCTCGGGGAAATACAGCGCTGACAACCTGCCGCAAGGCCCAAGGTGCTCACTAACGGAATCTCTCACAACGGCTCCAGGCGCTGCTTAATCTGCCCTCGCTTTGCTTGCATGCTGTTTCATGAGCCTAACCATTCTGATGGCGGAATGCATGGCACAGTCATGCTGACTTGGTATTGCTTTTGAGAATGCTCAAAAGTAACACCAAAATAGCTGTTTCACGAGCCTTACCATTCTGATGAGGAGTGCATGGCACAGACATGCTGACATGTAATTTACGCACCGCAGCCACTCAAGCAACCATGCCGCCACTCATTTAACCATGCCCATCAAATTCCATCCCATCATTCTCTTGCACCCTCCCTTGTTTCATCTGTGCACTACTAACCCCTCTCCTCCCCCCCAACTCTTGTCAACCTTGCCCACCCTCTCTCCTGACAAGCACCCTCCAACCATCCTCCTCCTTCCCCCACACCTGTTTCTTATTCTCAATCCAGAGGTATTTTGTTCCAACAACTGCTGCCCGGCCTGGACCCTCTTCTTGGCCTCATGACGGAAATCGGGGAAAAGCGAAACAAAACCCTGCCCCAGGCAAGTTAATTTTGAAACTTATCTCATCCCAAATTTTCTACGTCATTTCACTGCCCCACATTCCCTGTTCTACTTGTGATGCTGTGTCTTCTTTTGACTGCTCTGCTCTGCTCTCCATCCTGCTCTTCTGCTCCATCACATGCTGTCTCGATCTCACTCATTCTCACAAAACACGCAGCAATCTACTAATACATGGCAAGCAACTGTTGCATGGCCAAGGGCGCGGTCTGGTCCTCATTCCAGCAGCATTCTCCACATGGAAACACTCGAATGTGTCTTTTTAATGTGACATCTTTATATGCTCCACCTGCCCGCCATGTCATCAGGTGGCAATCAACTGGTGCATGACCAAGGGCACGGTCCCCATTCCAGGAGCCAAGACCGTGGAGCAAGCAAAGGAGAATCTCGGAGCGCTTGGCTGGCGGCTGTCGTCCAATGAGGTTGCAGCTTTGGATGACGCTGCTGCTGAGGTGCCACGGCCAATGATCCAAAATATCTTCCAAACCAAGTGACGTATAGGTGGGATGTTGTAAGTTACACCGTAGGGCTCAGAAACTAGGATACTGAATTTGCTGTTGCGGTAATACTGCTTTGGATGATGCTGCTGCTGCAGTGATCCAAAGCATCCTCTAAACCAAGTGACATGAGGGTTGGGTTGCTTGCTGCTAAAAGTTTAAATGTATGTTGGTAGTTAGCTGAATCAACTTGTTATTACTGTTTCAGATGAGCTGCTGCTGAGATGTGTGTGACTGCCAGTGTGTATCTTCCCAACAGACCAGGCCCTCAGATTGGTTTGAGGGTATGCTGATGGATCAGCGTGCCCCTGCCAACCAGGTGTCCAAATCAGCGTTGGTGGTTTTCAATATACTGATCCTGTCAGGGTAAAATTTTCAGTGTAAAAAAGTCCAAAATAAATATACCTAACTGTCAAATGTTGTAGCCTGTAGTGAGGTTTGTCTTAGGGGGTACAGAAGTTAGGGTTTGTCATATGTACCCCAACCAACATCAATGGAACACCCATTCCTCATTCTGACACTAACCTAACCTACCTAACTAGTACTACTAGAGAACTAGCTCATGTCATCATCTGAAGAAGAAACGCTACTGCTACTGCTGCCATCATCATCACTCTGCAGACCTTGCACTTGATTGACGGGAACCCTGCTTTATTCTGCAGCAGTACAAGCCACGGGTAGTCGTCAGACCATTGTTTGTTAAACATAGCTAAAGCCTCTTAGTATTTCTCCTCGGCAATGTCGGGCAGTTCTGTATCGGAAGACACCTCAACCGCTTTCCCCTTCATTTTACGCTGACGGGCCTTAGGGGAAGAGTTACCCACACCGGACGTTGGTGTAGCTTGACTGGAACCCCACCCGATCTTGGTCTGGTGGTACCTCACTTTAATACCCCTTTTAAGACGAGGACCTTGCCGAGTAGTTCCGGCAGCGACAGGTTGACGGTTCCGTGTGGGTTCGGGAGCGGCAGGTGTAGATCCGACAGCGTCAGGAGTTGATGCGGCAGCGACAGGCGTTGATGCGGCAGCGACAGGCGTTGATGCGGCAGCGACACGAGTTGATGCAGCAGCGACAGGAGGTGAAGCGGCAGCGCCTACATGCGTCGAACACTCGCCCTGCGTCCAGATGGTAGGTGCCTCGGGGCCAGTGGAAGGGAACGGCACGGCTTGAGCTGACGGCGGGACTAACGCGGGAGCAGCGTGAACGCGTCGTAAAAAGTCTAAGCCAGTAATAGCGGCTGGCCTCGTGCCTGCGACGGGCGGAGGGCCGTCACCTGCGGGCGTCGAAACCGCCATGGCTGCTCAGCGCTGCAGAGCATGCCGAGCTTGAGGGAGAAGCTACTCCTGCTTCAGCTCGAACATCACTTCCTGCAGGGGTTCACGAGGAGTGCAGGAACAGAATGAGGGAGCAAATGGGGGTACCCACTCTCCCGAGCTGCGATGACGAGGGATCTTGGTCCAGGCCAGGGTTTCCGTCTTCCCAGGCAAGATGACAACACCCCCACTCCACTCTGCCATCCCTGGCGTGTTGGCGTGGACCCTGCCACCAGTGGTGTGTTGTCTGTGTTCTCATTGGGCAGTTGTGAACTAGGTTAGCCGTTCTCTGGTATTCTGGCTTCCAGCGCGGCAAAACGGTTCGGCGCGCACTAGCTGTAAATACAGCGCATGTGAGAAGATTCCAAGTGTGTGTGGGGTTTCGTGAATCACGCGAAGGAACAGCCTCTACACGCGTCGCCCCCCCCCCCCCCCCCCCCCCCCCCCCCCCTTTTCCCCCGGCCGGTCAAATCCGTTTCAGGGTGACGCACTGAAGTATACTGATTCCTCAGTGTAACTCGTTCTGAAACACACAAAACCGTCAGTGTGGCAAACTCACATTTACTGAAATTTCAGCCCAAAATGGAAGCATTTACTGATTTTCCAGGGAAAACGAAATTCAGAGCTACAAAATCAGCGTAATCAGCGTGTTTTACGCTGACATCTGAGGGCCTGCAACAGACAGTTATACACCATGCTGACAAGAACGGACGGAATGGACAGTACATGACCATGACATCCCCATGTTGCTTTTGCTGCGTACAACAATGTCATTACAAGAATGGATTGATCCATTACAAGAATGATTTACCTACGGTACATGACATTGCGACGAACTAATTGCAGCTTCATCAAGAGTTGTCTTGATTTAACGAGGGAACAGCACATCAAGCATGTCATTGGCTAGCACGTTCTTGGGATCCAGCTTCCGGCGATACTCATTCAACTTGGCCACGGGGAAATCGCGAGCAACGCGTGACACCAGCCACTCACGAGTGGCAGGATCAGCGGGGATCTGTGCAATTGGGGATAAAGGGAGGAAGTAATTTTGGAAATGGAGGGATGATAAATCCAAAGAATATGTCAACAACAGTCAACAGTGGAGAGAAAAGAAGTTGGAGATAGAATAGAACACAAAGAAAACATGGGAAAGGAAGGTTGGGAAAAAGTGGACTATGAAAAGGAGGGAGGGAAACAACACTAGTTAACAAAAACCCTCCAAAAAACACATCCTCTTCCTTTGACATCCAAACTTACGTTGATGTAAGCTCATCAATTGCCCTCTTTTACTTGTATCGGTCATACAGTACCTCAATCTTTGCCCAATGCTCATGTGCTCCGTATTTGTCCCACAGCCTTCGGGCAGTCAAAAACTTGTAGTCGAGGAAATGTTTGGTGATGGCTGCCCGTTGGTCAGGGTCATTGGAAGGCAGGTACATGATTATGCCCACCTGCATGTGATGGGAAAGCCCGGCACAAGTATATAAAAGATCCTGATGAAGAGGGTGATGAGAAAGTTAAATCGAATGAAGGCAGCTTGGATGTGGATGGTTGTGTTGAAAGGAACAATAGAGGTGAATAATGATGCCTTACATACTGTTTGATGTTACCCATATAAGTGAGCATCATACCACATACCAACAAATAAACATACTGACACATCCTTCGGCACCTGCACGCATGAGTGTCAGCAGCATTTCCACATACCCATGAGTACACATCATCCAGCGCTCTTCCATCGGCCGCCGAACCTGCTGCCGAACTTGCTGCCGAACCTGCTGCAGCTGTTGCAGCATTAGCAGCGTTACAAGCACCGGCAGTGGGGCTCATCGGGCTTCGACTGCCGCTGGTCCAGCGCTGCTCGATGGGAGCAGGGGCGGGGATGCCCTCTGATTCGATCAGCGTCAACAGCTCTTCCATATAAGCTATGTCTGCCGCGTTGCTGCTGCTGCTGGCGGCGGCGGTGCTGCTGGTGGTGGTGCCGCTGCCACCGCCTGCCTTGAAGCATACTTCTGACACCCACTGCTGCCCACCACAGTCAAAGCCCAGTATCTGGTCGCTCCATCCTTCCCTGCACAAGGAAATACTGATTCAGTACAATGCGCCTAATTGTTATTATGTTAGGTATTATTACAACGAGAAACTAGCGTGGGTGCTCAACATACCTCATGTGCATAGACGGACATCACACTCACAGACACACGCGCATACACGCACATGCAGGCACACATACACGCATACCTTGTGATCAGTCTGGTTATTCACATGAGGTGATTTTTGAGTCAACTCAAATGTCAACTCGTTAATGGCCCGCACATGGTCCAGATTCGATGGATCTGACCACTACGAAATAGATGCACGTCCAAACAAGCTAGCACGTAGTTCCCACCACGCACACACACCGACCTCTCCCTTTAACCCAACTTCAAGTACAGAGCCATTCCGTGAATGATCACCCCAACAGGTCCAGATTCAATGGATCTAGCACCCACACACACTCTCACCTCTCCCCTTCACTCAGCTTCCAGTACAGTGCCTCGGCCTGGTTGATCGCCCGCACATGGTCCAGATTCAATGGATCTAGCGCCAGTAGCTCGTCCCTCAGCCTCGTGAAAGACAGTTCCTGAAGCTCAGCTTCGGTTAGGAAGCGCTGGGTCGGCGGCGCAGGCTCGGCCGAACCTGTGCCAGACCACATTCCAGCAGCTGCTTCGGTGGTAGAATTTTGGCCGTGGGAAGGAGAGGAGGATGAGGCGGGGGATGGGGAGGAGGAAGGTGGATGGGACTGGGGCCTGGAAGGTTTGTTGCTGAAGGAATGGTGATGGAAAGGGAGGAGAGAAACGGGTTGGAAGATAGGTATAGCTTAAAGATTTTCAGAAATACGCTGACAATGTGGAGACTGGAATGAGATAGAGGTAAGATTCAAATGCAAATCGAACCGAGGTGAAGTGGGACATGACGCCGAATAACACCTCGTTGAGAAACAATGTGAGCCGTTTCAAGAGCACCCATGGCATGGCCAATCAACCTGAACCTCGTGGATGGATGGGGTGCTACCCGTTGGGAAGAGAAACAATGTCAATCGAGACAATGTAAACCCGAAACAGAACTGAACCAGGAGAAAGCGGAACGTGACCCGAATCAAAGTTATAGGAGGCTTGCAATGCTTGCCCTAGAATCACCCAAGGCACCACCAACTGAAGGGGTAAATATACAGAGTACAGAAATGATCCTGGTGCAACTGCGAAAACACATTGCATAGAAGGATGTCATCATGCTAATATGATCCTGGTGGTGATTCCACTCACCTTCTTCTCACAGCAACCGATGCAAGATACAGCACTCTCACATGACCCATCTTCTCATCCTCACTCAACGGTGCAGCATCCCCATACCCCTCTGCGTGTGCCCATCTCACATCATCATCACCTGCTTATCTCACCTTCTCCTTGCAGCAACGGATGCGAGGTACAGCGCTCGCACGTGAGCCAGCTTCTCATCCTCACCCATCGCCGGCTCACTGGCGGGTCCCTTGCCCTGCACTGCTGATCTCCCACTCGTGGTGGCGTTAGTGACAGGGTTGCTCCTCACCACCACGACTGCCTGCGTGTGTGGAATCCACATGTACCGCACATGCTGGGAGTCCCGTAACCACTGGCTGAGACAGGGGGGAGGGGAAAGAAGGTGCTGTGATTATCAGAAGAGCATGCACTGTGCTAGTTACAAGGGCCGTGACAGGGTTGCAACTGACCACCACGGCTGCCTGCGTGTGTGTGTGGAATCCACATGTAGCGCACATGCTGGTAGTCCCATAACCACTGGCTGGGAGCAAGGATGACATTTGATACCCCTCTTTGCCCCACTTCCTCCACCCTCTCCCCCAAACAACCACCACCACCACTTACTCACCCATGATGCATCTTAATATCCTCCTTATCAGAAACAACTTTTGAGGCGCCTAAAAAATCGTCTTAATATCCTCCTTATCGGTAAGAAACGTCTCCTCTCTCAGTCTATGCGCTGGCACTGCTTCCACCTCCCCCACCACCCCCAGTGCTCCGAGCCCTGCGTGCTAGTCTAAGTGGTCACCCCCACAATTCCTTCCACCCATGATGCCTCTTGATCTCCTCCTTCGTAGTAACAAACGTTTCCTCCCTCAGTCTGTGAGCCGGCATTGCTTGTAACTCCACCTCTCCCACCACACCCAGCGCTCCGAGTCCTCCTTGTAATTCTGAGTGGTTATCCCGCCCTCCCTCCCACTGCCTACTCACCCATGATGCCTCTTAATCTCCTCCTTGGTAGTAACAAACGTCTCCTCCCTCAACCTGTGCGCCGGCACTGCCTGCAACTCCACCTCCCCCACCACCTTCCCAACCACCCCTTGCACGTGTTTCCACCTTTCCGAAACAACCACTCCCAACACACTCACCCATGATGCCTCTTGATCTCCTCCTTCGTAGTAACAAACGTCTCCTCCCTCAGTCTATGCGCTGGTATTGCCTGCAACTCCACCTCCCCGACCACTCCTAGCGCTCCGAGCCCGCACCGAGCCAGGTAAAACAGGTCCGGGTCAGCTTCGGGCGTCAGGTGCAGCGTGCCCTTGCCAGGTGTCACAAGCTTAATGGCCAGCACTTGCTCGTCCACTGGGGGAATGGCGGCCCCTGTGCCATGTGCTCCCACCTAAGGTGCAAGGCGGCAAGGGGGGAAGGTGGTGGAAAGGCGGGAGGGAGAAAGGTGTGTATCCCTGCCACGAGCAGGTGTCACGAGGTGAATGCCCAGCACTTGCTCGTCCACTGGGGGAATGGCAGCTCCTGTGCCATGTGCCCCCACCTAAGATGGGGAAGGTGGCGGAAAGGGGAAAAGGTGGTGGAGAAGGGGGAAGGGGGATAGGTGTTTGTCCGGGTCACGAGCAGGTGTCACGAGCAGGTGGCACAAGCTTAATGGCCATGACTTGCTCGTCCACCGGGGGAATGCCGGCCCCTGCTTTTGAGTCGACTAAAAAGCGTCCACTCGGGGAATGCCGGCCCCTGCTTTTGAGTCGACTCAAAAGCGTCCACTCGGGGAATGCCGGCCCCTGCTTTTGAGTCGACTCAAAAGCGTCCACCGGGGGAATGCCGGCCCCTGCTTTTGAGTCGACTCAAAAGCGTCCACTCGGGGAATGCCGGCCCCTGCTTTTGAGTCGACTCAAAAGCGTCCACCGGGGGAATGCCGGCCCCTGTGCCGTGTGCCCCCACCCGGTGACGTGAAACACGCGATAGCACAAGAAAGAAACAAAAGGGAAAGAAAGCGACACATGAAGAAGCAAGGTTTTCGCCCGGGTGGAGTGTCACGAGGTGCTGTGGTTGTGCTCTCACGAGCAGGTGTCATGTCACGAACTAACGGCCAAGTGAGCTCACCTGTATGAACCCCCCTATCTGCTGCTCCCGCACCGAAGCATAGTTCTGCAGAGTAAGTCCATACGGCCTTAAAGCTTCCACCACCTGCTCCACGCGCGCCCCTGCCTGCACGCGCACCCTCCCGGTGCTCTTATCCACATGCACCACTCGGTCCATCAAGGCTAGATTGACCATGCCGTGCGCGCTCAGAGCGATGCCGTTGGGGGAAATGGCGCTTCCTACAGGGCGGATGGGGCGACCCTCCCTGTGGGCTGCCTGAACGATCCGCTCCAGGTCCTGGGAAGTAGAGGTGTGGGGGTCAGGAAGTGGGGGAGAGGGGGCAGCAGGGGAGAAGGGGGATGGGTGTACGGCAATAGCTGCTGCTATGCCCATCCAAACACACCACTCGGCCCATGAGCGCCAGGTTGACCATGCTGTGCGCGCTCAGAGCGATGCCGTTGGGGGGGATGGCGCTGATTGAACGATCCGCTCCAAATCCTGCGAGAGAGAACAGGGAGAGGGCAAGGAGGAAGAAGGGGGGGCGGACTTAGCAGCTGGTCTGAATGCTCTCCGGTTCCCGGTGCTCTTATCCAAACACACCACTCGCCCCATGAGCGCCAGATTGACCATGCCATGGGCGCTCAGCGCAATGCCGTTGGGGGAGATGGCGCTGCCCACAGGGCGGATGCGGCGGCCCTCTGCATGGGCTTCTCGAACGATCCGCTCCAAATCCTGCGAGAGGGAACGGGGCAGGTGTGTTGAAATCACTATTGAGAATTTTCAGAGGAGAGGAGGGTGGAGCAGGGAGGAAGATAGGAGGAGGAGACTGGCTGCAGGGAGAGGCGGAGGGGGCAGGGAGAGGCAGAGGAGGGGGGAGGAAGAGGCGGAGGAGGGGGGAGGAAGAGGCAGAGGAGGGGGCAGGAGAGGCAGAGGAGGGGGGAGGAAGAGGCAGAGGAGGGGGCAGGAGAGGCAGAGGAGGGGGGAGGAAGAGGCGGAGGTGGCAGGAAGAGGCAGCATCAAACATACACTTTTCAAATCACCTGCATGGACTCTTGGTCGGTACACCACAGCGGCCCTAACCTCATGCGTACCGCTCCACTGGTATACACACGCACTCTCATTCATACATACACACCCCCTGCATATCAGCACACACTCGTACATGCATGCATACAATACAAGCACACACGCACCTGCATGGATTCTGGTCGGTACACCACAGCGGCCCTAACCTCATGCGTACCACTCCAATTCGACACCAACTCCCCTTCATCCTCCTCCCCCTCTTCCCCTACTCCTCCTCCTTCCCCTCTCTTCCCATTCTCCTCTGCTCTTTCCCCTTTGCTGCTCCGCGCCTCCCCCCAAGCTACCCCCATTGCCGCCGTTCCGGCAAAAATTGCTCCCCCTGCACCTGCCCATGCCCCTCCGTGGTGGTTCCCCCAGCGCGCTCCCCCTGATCCTCCGCCTTTTCCGTTTCCCCCACCTCCCCCTGTTCCCCGCGTGTTGCCCAAAAGCTGCGCTCTCCGCGGATCTTCCGCCCCGCTCGCGGTGGAAGAAGACATGGCGGAATTGTGGAAATGCGGGGGGGATTGCGGAGATGACGAAAGCGGAGGAAGCGGACGCCGGGGAGCTTGAGCGGAAGAGGCGGGAGGATCGGCGCGCGGGGCGGGTGCAAGCGGGCATGTTGCGCCGATCGCTGATGGAGCGGGGAACGGACGGCGGGTGTGGGGGAAGGCGGGTGTGGCGCCTGTGGCATAGGCGCGAGTAGACGTGTAGCTACAAGTTAATCGGCGAATTGCGGAGTCTGCTTCGCGAGAGTGATGTCGCAACAGCCGCACGGCGGATGCCATGGCTGGCGAATTTCGCAATGATGGCTGGCGAACCCCGCAGAGGGTGACGTAGGGAGGGTCTGGAGTGGCTGCTTTACATGGTCTGCTTTATATGTACGAAGTACTCGGTGTTCCCAGGAAATGAAACCAGAGGGCCCATTCCATGAATGTTTCAGGTAGCTTCAGTTTTCACGAATCTTGAGAAGTTTTCCCCGTTAGATGGTAGATCGTTTTTGCCAACAAGAATTCCGAAAGATAAATGATTTCGCGAGCGTTTTGGTTCCCTTGGCCCACCGTTAGTGTAAGGAATTTTGCTAATTCCTTACTGAGGCACCGCTTACGCGTACATTTCCAATTTTCGGAGTTCAGGCTCGGTCCGACGACCTCGCCTCCCGAACGTCTTCCGCGTCGCCTTCGGGTTTTCCAAACCCAAACCTACACCCAACCTTCACACGACTCCGCGACCTCGGCTTAGCTAGCTTTGCTATATTATGCCTAGGCCCCGTTGTTTGCTCAGTAGTTGTAATCACTTCCGCGATATTGCATTCTGCGCACTCTTCTTTCATACAACTCATAACACCTGGTATCAGAGCTACTTTCCTAGGTTACCCTCCACTTTCCGGGGTAGTTTAGTACAGGGGTGCAATAGGTTTGGTGGGCTGCAAAGCGGTCGGCTGAGAGATAGACACGATTATCTCGCCCCGACTAATAGCGTTTGCGCCTTCATCAAAACCATAAAAATCGCTGTTAACCCCTTGCGAGTTAGACGAAGCCTGCGACACATGGACCAGGCGGAGTTCAACGAGCTCATGCAACAATTTAGGGCGATGCAGGCCAACATGCAGACTATGTCTGGCGAGTTGGAGCGCCTGAGGGAGGAAAACGCCGAGCTACGCCAGACGCGAGGTGAAGCGCGTTAGGAGTCGCCCGCCGTGGATGAAGCAGGTAGCAGTTTCGCGCCTAACGACGAGGTCCTCAGCGAGCTACAGAACTCGCTGGACGCTGAAGACGAGCGGACAGCACGGACGCAACGGGCACAAGGGACGCAGGAACAACAGTCACAACCGAGGCAACAGTCGCAGACTACGCCACGACAGGCAATAGCGACAACCCCGGTGATGGCTCCAGTGGCGCCCCTGATGCATGCAGCAGCAACAGTCTCAACAACTGTTAAAATAAAACCGACGAACCCGCCCCCGTTCAACCCCAGCGACAAAACCGTCACTGTGTCGGCTTGGTTGTTCGGTGTAGAGGTGTTTTTCAATGCTGCACAAATTGCTGACGATGCTACCCGCATTAATTTTGCAGTGTCACTATTGCGAGGACCGGCGTTGGAGTGGTGGAAGCGGACTCTTCAGCCAGAGGGGGCTCCGGCAGGGACATCACGTGCGAACGACGGGACCTGGGCAGCTGTCACGCAACAGGCAACTTCAATCTTCGGAGTGGCCACGATACGCACATGGACGGAGTGGGGCGCCGCGCTGCGAAACAGATTCGAGCATGTATCCGCCTCTGATTCTGCTCGCATGAAGCTGCGTACCTGGAAGCAGGTGGCATCGGTCCAAGATTACACGGCGACATTCTGCAATTTGGCTGACCAAGTGGACGATATGAGTGACGCGGAACGACTCGACCGCTATGTCGCAGGCCTCAAGTACGACGTACAGTACGAGGTGCGACGGGCGAGGCCACGCGTGTTTCTCGAAGCCGTCCAGGTGGCTGAATCGACGGATGCGCTGATGCAATGGGCGAGAATGAGTTCCCGGGAGGGCACTCAATTTCGTGGACCGCCACGCCAGCCCACAATCAACGGGGTGGATGCACCGAGGCGTGGACCCAACACGTGCTTCAACTGCAACCAACCGGGCCACTGGAAGAAGGACTGCCCGAAGCTGAAATAGGGAAACAGGAATGACGGAGAGGGGTCGGGAAAAGAGACGAGTCAGTAGCAGTCGGGCCACCTACTGACGAGACCCCGTCGCCCGGCAATCAACATCCACACCGAGTAGTGGTACCGATTGTTAAGATACTAGTGTTTAGAGGGCTTAGGAGCCATTGCTAGTGAGTTCTTAGAAGCTAAGGTTTAGGGTTGAAGTGAAGTGTCGAGAAAGTTGAGAAGGGGAAATGAGGTGTTTCACTATAGGTTGGCAACAACATATAGCAAAGAAACAAAGAAGGTGCACCACCAAACAAAGTTTATAATAACTACACTAACTATAGCTACAGGCAGTTACAAATATATTCTGACACTCCCCCATAACTGCCTGCAGCAGAAGCTAATGCAGAGACACCCCCTGAAGGGGTACACCATGCGCAGTAGAAGGAGAGGGCAAGTGAGGAGGAGGGACTATATGAGGAGAGGCTGCTGGCAGGTGAAGCTGCTGGCTCCAAGGCGGCTGCTTCCTGGAACCTTCCTCAGTCCTCCAACTCCCCCTTCCACACTCCTTGACAACCCTAGCACCTCTCCCCCAGCTCCCCCACACCCTCACACCCACCCCCCCCAGCGGCAGCTGCAGCAGTGGGAGAGAAAGGAGGAGGAGGGGAAGGGGATCACACACACCCATCACCCCCATACCCGCCACCCCATAGCCTCCGTTCCACGGCTGCACGCGCAGCAAGGAGACGAAGAAGGGGGGGGGGGGGGGGGCAGGGGCGACAGAGCAGAACAGAGCGCACAAGGGCGCAGGCAGCAGCAAGGCGCACGAGGGCGCGGGCAGCAGCAGAGCGCACGAGGGCGCAGGCAGAGCAGAGCGCACAAGGGCGCGGGTAGCAGCAGGGCGCACGAGGGCGCGGGCAGCAGCAGAGCGCACGAGGGCGCAGGCAGAGCAGAGCGCACAAGGGCGCGGGCAGCAGCAGGGCGCACGAGGGCGCGGGCAGCAGCAGAGCGCACGAAGGCGCAGGCAGAAGCAGGGCGGCAACAGGCAGCAAAGGCACGATCAGCAACGGGCGGCAACAGGCAGCACAGGCACGGGCAGCAACGGGCGGCAACGGGCAGCAACGGGCGGCAACGGGCGGCACAGGCACGGGCAGCAACGGGCGGCAACAGGCAGCACAGGCACGGGCAGCAACGGGCGGCAACAGGCAGCACAGGCACTGGCAGCAACGGGCAGCACAGGCACGGGCAGCAACGGGCGGCAACGGGCAGCACAGGCACGGGCAGCAACGGGCGGCAACGGGCAGCATAGGCACGGGCAGCAACGGGCGGCAACGGGCGGCACAGGCACGGGCAGCAACGGGCGGCAACAGGCAGCACAGGCACGGGCAGCAACGGGCGGCAACAGGCAGCACAGGCACGGGCAGCAACGGGCAGCACAGGCACGGACAGCAACGGGCGGCAACGGGCAGCACAGGCACGGGCAGCAACAGGCAGCACAGGCACGGGCAGCAACGGGCGGCAACAGGCAGCACAGGCACGGGCAACAACAGGCAGCACAGGCTCGGGCAGCAACGAGCGGCAACAAGCAGCACAGGCACGGGCAGCAACAGGCAGCAACGGGCAGCACAGGCACAGGCAGCAACGGACGGCAACAGGCAGCACAGGCACGGGCAGCAACAGACAGCACAAGTACAGGCAGCAACAGGCAGTACAGGCACGGGCAGCAACGGGCGGCAACAGGCAGCACAGGCACGGGCAGCAACGGGCGGCAACGGGCAGCACAGGCACGGGCAGCAACGGGCGGCAACGGGCGGCACAGGCACGGGCAGCAACGGGCGGCAACAGGCAGCACAGGCACGGGCAGCAACGGGCAGCACAGGCACACGCAGCAACGGGCGGCAACAGGCAGTACAGGCACGGGCAGCAACGGGCAGCAACGGGCAGCAACGGGCAGCACAGGCACGGGCAGCAACAGGCAGCACAAGCACAGGCAGCAACAGGCAGCACAGGCACAGACAGCAGCAGGCAGCACAGGCACGGGCAGCCATACCGAGTCTAGGAGCGGCGGCGCATACAGCTGTGGGGTCGGCGCCGTGGGCTGCTGCTGGGGCGGCTGCTCCAGGCGCTGCTGCTGCTGGGGCGGCCGCTGCAGTGGCGGCGGCTCCACGGGCTGCTGCTGCTGGGGCGGCTGCTCCAGGCGCTGCTGCTGCTGGGGCGGCTGCTCCAGACGCTGCTGCTGCTGGGGCGGCCGCTGCAGTGGCGGCAGCTCCAGAGGCTGCTGCTGTTTGGGCGGCGGCTCCAGGGGCTGCTGCGCCTGGGGCGGCTGCTCCAGGCGCTGCTGCTGCTGGGGCGGCGGCTCCAGAAGCAACTGCTGCTGAGGCGGCTGCTCCAGGCGCTGCTGCTGATGGGGCGGCTGCTCCAGACGCTGCTGCTGCTGGGGCGGCCGCTGCAGTGGCGGCAGCTCCAGAGGCTGCTGCTGTTTGGGCGGCGGCTCCAGAGGCTGCTGCTACTGAGGCGGCTGCTCCAGGCGCTGCTGCTGAGGTCCAGGGGCGGCGCTGGTGCAAGGTAGGCCCGCGCTCGGCTGCAACGCTGGCGCGGGCGCAGGTGAGGCAGAGGCGGTGGCCAGGGGGGAGGGCGCCGCGACAAGCAGGGACGGCGCCCAAGGAGTGCCGCTACGAGCACGGGCGACGCCCCAGGGGCGCCGCGTCGAGTAGGGGCGGCGTCCAGGGGGCGCCGCGACGAGCAGTGGCGACGCCCCGCGGGTCCCGCAGTGGCGTCGCGACGAGCAAGGCGACGCCTTGCGGGTCCTGCAGGGGCGTCGCGACGAGCAGGAGTGGCGACGCCCGGGTCTCGCAGGTGCGTCGCGACAAGCAGGAGCGGCGCCTCGCAGGGCGCCGCAAAGTGGAAGGTACGGGCGGGCAAATCAGGCCCGCCCGTGGACGTGAGGCAGGCGCGCAGGCGGCGTGAGGGCAGGCCACGCGCGGGGCAGGAAGACGCTGCGCGCCCAGGGCGCACGGCGGGCAGAAGCCCGCCGTGCGCCCCGAGCACACGGCGGGCAGAAAATCGCCGTGCGTACGCCGCGCGCCCGAGGCGCACGGCAAGACGATAGGCAGCGGAAGCAGGAAGGCAGCATGAACGTACCTGCTCTGAATACCATGTTAAGATACTAGTGTTTAGAGGGCTTAGGAGCCATTGCTAGTGAGTTCTTAGAAGCTAAGGTTTAGGGTTGAAGTGAAGTGTCGAGAAAGTTGAGAAGGGGAAATGAGGTGTTTCACTATAGGTTGGCAACAACATATAGCAAAGAAACAAAGAAGGTGCACCACCAAACAAAGTTTATAATAACTACACTATCTATAGCTACAGGCAGTTACAAATATATTCAGACACCGATACGGGCTATCGACCACAACCGGACGAATAAGGTGGATGAACACGTGGATCACCCTGTGTTGGTCGTGGGGAGGGTTAACGGGCATAATATAAAATTATTCGTTGACGGTGGGGCGAGCCACAGTCTCGTCAACCTGGCAACGGCCAAAAAAATTGGAGTCAAACTGGACAGGTGTCTACCCGAGATTGACGCGCGGCTGGTAGACGGAACACCTTGTCAGAACATTGTAGCTTACTTATTTGTGTAGGCTATAGTGGGGTATCCCATAGGGGGTACAACCCAATTAGGGTGTCCTATTTGTACTCTCTTCGTTCATAGTCATTTCATTCTCGTTCTATTCTTCTCATGGTATCGAGCAGGTTCCCCTGTGGGAACTGTGCTTAGGGCCCACCACTACTTCATACTTTTTTTCTGCCCGGAGCGCGCTCCGGGCTCTCTCTTACCTCTGTCGACCGGCCCTTAGCCGCCCGCGCGCCGCCCGTTCAGGCCTCACGCCGCCAGCGCGCCGCCCGTCCAGGCCCCGTGCAGCCCGCGCGCCGCCCCTAGCAGCCCGCGCGCCGCCCTTAGCAGCCTGCGCGCCGCCCTAAGCAGCCCGCGCGCCGCCCTAAGCAGCCCGCGCGCCGCTCGCCAGGCCCCAGGCCGCCCACGCGCCGTCCGCGCGCCGCCCTTAGCCGCCCTAAGCCGCCCGCGCGCCGCCCGCAAGGCCTCAGGCAGCCCACGCTCCGCCCGCGCGCCGCCTTTAACCGCCCACGTGCCGCCCGTGCGCCGCCCTTAGCCGCCCAAAGCGCCGCCCGTGAGCCGCCTGTGAGCCGCCCGTGCGCCGCCCGTAGCCGCCCAAAGCGCCGACCGTGAGCCGCCCGTGAGCCGCCCGTGAGCCGCCCGTGAGCCACCCGTCAGCCGCCCGTGAGCCGCCCATGAGCCGCTCGTGAGCCGCCCGTCCCGGCCCCGAGCCACCCGCGAACCGCCCGTGAGCCGCCTGTGCGCCGCCCGTGAGCCGCCCGTCCCGGCCCCGAGCCACCCGTGAGCCGCCCACCCCGGTCCCGCTCCCAGCCGCCCTCGAGCCACGCTGTCCCGACCCTTCGACGCCCGAGCCGCCCGTGCCACCCGCGCCACCCGAGCCGCCCGAGCCGCCTACGCAGCGGAGGAGCCGAGCCGCCCGAGCCACCTTTGCCGCCCGAGCCGCCCGAGCCGCCTGTACCGCCGAGCGCCCGAGCCGCCCGAGCCGCCCGAGCCGCCCGAGCCGCCCGAGCCGCCCGAGCCGCCCGAGCCGCCCGACCCGCCCGAGCCGCCTGGGGAGCCGAGCTGCTGGTCCTAGGGCTGCTGTTGCTGCTGGGCCGGCAGAGCTGCTGTGTTGCCGTGTTCCTGTGCTGCTGAGCTGCCCGTCCTGTCTGGTGAGCACAGCTCCACTGCTACTGCGTGCCCCTTCCCGCACTGCTTGCACTGCTAGTCTGTCGTCATGGCTACCCCTAGTGTCCTAGCTTTTGACGCTGAGGGTCGTGCCATTGACTTTGAGGTCTGGCTCGACGACCTGCAGCTGTTCTTACAGTGCGATAGGGCAGACGGTCTTTCTCTCTTTGACCTCACCTCTGGCGCCGTCCCTGCCCCTGCTGCTGATGCTGACGCCACTGTTCGCTCACAGTGGGCCACGCACGATGCTGCTGCACGTCTTGCTGTGCGTCGCCACCTGCCTACCGCTGAGCGCGCGCACTTTAGCCAGTACAAGAGTGCCCAGACCTTGTACGACGCTGTAGTTGCGCGCTACTCCTCCCCTGCCACAGCTGCACTGAGCCGCCTCATGCTCCCCTTCCTCTTTCCTGACCTTGCCGCCTTTCCCACTGTCGCTGACCTCATTACGCACCTCCGCACTAGTGACACTCGCTACCGCGCTGCGCTTCCTGCTGACTTCTGCGCCAAGAACCCCCCCCCCCCATGTACATCACTCTCTACTTTTTAGTCACTCGCCTCCCTGACTCCCTTCGTGTAGTCCGGGACCACTTCCTCGCGGTCTGTCCCACCACCCTCACAAACGACAGCCTCGAGAAGGCCCTCCTAGCGGCGGAGAATAGCATAGTCGCTGTAGGAGGCTCTCGAGGTGACCCCCGCGCCCCCATCTTTGAGGGGTGTTCTCCTTCCCCTCTCCTGCCCTCTGTCGCCTCTGCCGGTGCGGCCGACCTCGTTGGTCTTGAGTCGGTCGGTGCGGCGTCTGCCCCTAGCGGGAGACGCCGCTCTGGCAAGGGCAAGGGGGGCAAGGGAGCGGGTGGGGCCAGCGGGGGCGGTGGAGGTGGCGGTGGAGGCGGCGGAGGGAGTGGGGGTGGCGGTGGAGGTGGTGGCGGGGGTGGGGGTGCTAGTGGCGGCAGTGGAGGCGGGGGTGGCGGCGGCGGTGGCGGTGGGAGCGGAGGTGGCGGAGGCGGCGGCGGTGGAGGCGGAGGCGGGGGTGGCGGTGGCGGTGGCGGTGGCGGTGGTGGAGGTGGTCAGAGTGGCGCTTCGCAGCGGAGCAGCACTAGGGGTGGTCAGCGCCAGCAGCAGCAGCAGCGTTCTCGCGACCTCCCGACGCCTCAGCAGCTCCGTGAGTGGTACACGCAGCGTCAGCGTGGTGGGGGTTTTGGTCCCTGCACCTACGTCCTTCGCACTGGCGACCGTGCTGAAGAGCAGTGTGGGGGTACCCACACCACCCAGCGCTGCTTTGGCCGCCTGACGGACGCTTGGCGCCAGCAGTTCCCGGAGGCCGCGGAGATCCCCCGCTGGGGAGAGCTGTCTAGGGCTGGTGTAGCTATCTTTGATCTTGACTTTGATGCTATCCTTGCTGCCATGATGCTGTGACCATTAGTGATGAGGGTGACTGTTACCGGTGTTTCCCGCCCGACCCGGGCATTGGTACTGCTGCTCTAGGTGTCAGTGAGGCTTCTGCTCTAAGTGCCAGTGCGTCTGTGCTCTCAGGTACTGGTGAGGCTGCTCTCTCAGGTACTAGTGAGTCTGCGCTCCCAGGTACTGCGTCGGCCTCGGCCTCCCACACCTTCACACTTGACTCTAGAGCGTCTCGCTCCTTCATTCGGGACCGCACCACACTCACGCCGCATAGTCGGCCGGTTACGGTGTCCCTGGCTGACCCCTCTGGGGGTCCTGTCCTGTCTCGCTTCTCCACAGTCCTCCCGTGTCCGGCGGCTCCCTCTGGCACCCTGTCTGGTCTCTACCTCCCCTCGTTCTCTACGAACTTGGTGAGTGGTGCTGACCTACAGGATGCGGGAGTCCACCAGTTCACCCCTGCTTCTCAGCGGGTGACGCACTACACAGAGGCTAGCACAGGTCGTCACCTGGCTACGTTTACACGTCAGCCAGGGTCGAGGCTGTACACACTGACCACTACTTCTCCTCCAGTTCCTGAGTCTGGTAGGGTCCCTTCGTCAGGTCAGGTGTTTGCTGCGGCGTCCAGGTCTGGTCCTGAGTCTGCCCCTTGTTCGTGTCGTCGCCTGTCTCACGAGACTCTCCTCTGGCACCACCGCCTGGGTCACCCCTCTCTGCTTCGGCTCAGAGGCATGGCCTCCCGTCTTCTTGTGTCTGGTCTCCCCCGGTCCCTCCCTCCCCTTCCTCAGGGCCCTGGCCCTGCCTGTGTCCCCTGTGTCGAGGGGCGCCAGCGTGCTGCCCCTCACTCCTCCCAGT